GGTGCCTGGTCAGTCTGGGTGAGGGGCTGAGGGCTGTTTTCCGGCTGGCGAGTGACTAAAGCTTCCAACCGCTCCTTGTTTTCATTTTTTTTTTTTTTTCTGGGCCAGCTTTAGCTCTGAGGCCTCGCTGCTGAAAACATGGATACAATGTTTCGGTCCGGCTGGGTTTCAGTCCGGCTGTTTTCTGGGGGTTTGTTTACCTTCTTATTTGCAACATAGTATATAGTTGCTTAGAGTTGCAACTGAGAGGCTGGCAAGTGAGGCGGGGAACGTTGGAGTCTGCAGCAAGCAAGCCTCGTGCTCGCTTCAGTGCCTGGCTGCCGGCCGCCATCTTGGCTGACAGTTAATTTGCATATACTCACTGATTAGCCAATGAAAAGGGTAGCGGTCGTACGCCAATTACCATGTTTCTCTTTTATTAGTGTAGATAGCTTTTTTACTGGATAAACACAGCTGCACATGCATGGGTACAAACACACAGTGTGCATCTTCTTGCATCACCCATAGGACATTATAACTATTCACACGGTTCCTCTTCTGTTACTCAAGCTGGTTTTGGTTACAGCTTCAAGATCTTGCTGCCACAATAGACTTTTCCTATTGGCTCCAACTCAGACAGAAGAAACACATCGGAGGAGCAATTTAGCTACCAAATTACACAAACTACCACTGACATTAATAGAATGACCTGGTCCCTTTCATGGCTAATAAAGTCACCTAAAATTATTCTTTATTGCTGCTCTAAATTTACATTTGGAAAAAATACTTTTCATACAAGTAAATCTTTCTTCCAAACCTTTTGTAAGAAAACAAACTTAAGTATTTAACATACTTGTTCTTTTAAATAGTGCCTTTCAAAGTCTAATTTCAGACTTGTAAGATATTGCCTGTACTTGTTAAACTCCTTCAAGTTACATACAACCTAAAAAAAAAACACAATAACAAAAAATATAAATGTAAACATTTAAAAATCATAGCAATCACTTTATGGAGGAAAAAAAGTAATAACATAAAATTTGATACCATTTTGGTAATAAGAGTAATAAATTGCTAACCATTTTGTAAGTAGTATATCTCTACAATCGTTAAACAATAGGACATTTCTATCCAAGTCTCATTACTTTTTAAAAATACTATTTATGAATTTAGTACACACAATTGGAGTTATTAGAGTAAAATACCAATCTATACATATAAAGGGGCAGGGGCCATCACATCTGAAACAACCGAATGGATGACCGAACAGGCAGGGGGGTTAGTGTGGGGCGACCAAATGACTAAACAGCAGGCTGTGTGGGGTGACCAGGCCAGCAGGGGGAGCAGTTGGGGGCAACCAGGTTGGCAGGGGAGGGCTATTGGGGACAACCAAGCTGGCACAGGAGGGCAGTTAGGGGCAATCCGGTTAGCAGGCAGAGGTGGTTATGGGTGATCAGGCTGGCAGGAGGGCCACTTAGGGGAGATCAGGCAGGCAGGTAGGTGAGCAGTTAGGAGCCAGTGGTCCTGGATTGTGAGAGGGATGTCCGACTGCCCCTGGGATTGGGCCTAAACTGGCAATTAGACATCCCCCGTGGGGTCCTGGATTGGAGAGGGTGCAGGCTGGGCTGAGGGGACCCCAACCCCCTGTGCATGAATTTTGTGCACCGGGCCTCTAGTGTAATAATAATGTTCAACACAAATTAGAATATAAGATTATTCTTATTCTATCAAGATTGTATCAGGCTAATATTGCTGTGTTCCTATTTTGTCTTTAGTTTTTAAAAATTTCATAATACATAATCCTTGACAAGCATATAAAATTATTGGAGACAGAAAAAGAGAACTATGATACAGTAGGAAAATTATTTTTATATCCTCAAATTACTTGGTAATCACCTTTTGAAATTATAAACAAAAAAGGTGGAAGACGTAGTATCATTTAGAAACACAATTGTTGTCTGATTTCCCTTGACCCAAAAATAATAAGTAATTTATAGAATTTCTAATTAAGTATCTCTCATGACCAAGTTAAAGGTGAACCCCACCCCCATCCCAGTGAGGTATAGAAGCCAACTTATATCAAGTCTTGGAAGTCTTCAATGATTAAAAGGAAGTAATCTTTGACCCACTTCATTATTGCGGGTGATGTAGCCTCCTTTCTTTAATCTCCTCCGGATATCTTCACGTGAATGGTATGCTCTTAAATGTGGATCATGGAGACTATTATATTGGTTGTCCAAAAGTCGACAATAAGGATCAGTCAGATTAAAATCATAAGAAGGTTGAAAAAGCTGCAAACACAGATTTAAAAAGATGAAAAATGTAAATTTTGAAAATAACTAGAATGTTCATTCAAAATAAAGCATGCAAGAAGAATTTGACATGGGGAAAACCAGCAACAGCAAGATTTGGATTGTGTAATGCTAATTGCTTATTCCT